TCTTTCCCTCATCAGCAATTTTGTTACTTTCTTGTGGTTTGTGCAGGAAAGACAGGAAAATATTTTTACTTATTATCAATTTATTATTTCAGAATAATGAATTGGCAGCTTTATATATTTGATGTATTTTTCTTTTCCCTTCCCTTCCCTTCCCTTCCCTTCCCTTCCCTTCCTTTCCCTTCCCTTCCTTTCCCTTCCCTTCCCTTCCTTTCCCTTCCCCTGCCCTCCCGTGCCCGCTCTTCCTTCCTTCCTTCCTGTTCTCTGTTTCTCCCACAAAACTAAAAAATCGGGGTCTATCTTCAGACCTGGCTCCTAGCAGGACTTTAGCCTATGATACAGAACAGATGCCAAATGAAAGTTTTCCTTTCTCCGCAGCCCAAGAGTCCAGATCGGTTCACGTGGGAGACAGTAATGTGAAGGGAATGATGGGTCCTGGTAAGTGGCTCTTCTCTTCAAGTTCTTTTTTCTTCCAGCAATTCTGTTCTTTCTCTCTTCAACCTCCCCAGTTTCTGCTCCCTCAATCCCAAACCAGGCATGAAAGAACTCAGGCAAGATAGGGCCTTACTATGACTAAGATTCCAAGAGGCGTACTAGAATAGGTTAGTGGCGCACTTCATCCTAAGGAGAAAGAAAGGCTGGAGAAGTTTAAGACAAATCCAATATTTCTGGTTCTTTCTGGGTCACTTCAATTACTTGTGAATTAGCATTTGCTGAGGTCTCACAGGTGAATATTCTGTGATATAAATGTTCCACGGATCACACCCTTTTGGTTTGATTCAAAAGTTACTTAGTTGACACTTCAGCAATATTTTATACATTATTTCACCTTCCTCCTTCCTTTCCACTCCTTTTTCCACCTTACCATCCTGAGGGTGAAGGGGATGCACTGCAAAAGAAGACACTGTCTCCGGCCGTCCTCCTCCTCCTCTTTGTACTTCCTTCCTAGAGGGGCTGCAGGCATCGGTTGTACTCACCTGAAAGGAGGCAGGCTTGAGGAATCAGTACATACACTCTAAGTCAGCTCTGTTACATTATTAATTCATTTTTAAAAAACCTTTGGTTAGTAGAGACTATCTACAGGCAACCCCTCCTGATCCTGGAAACTTTAACTCCTTCCTTGATATATTTAGTCCCTGAGGAATGGTTGTACCCAAACAAGGGTTTAACTTGTTTGGGTACAACCAAGAGTTAGTAACAAACATTATGAAAAAGCATGATCTTGAATGCAGCTGTTATTTTTCAGGAGTGAACCCAACTACTCCAGAGGCAGATGAAAACCTCAAGTCTTGTATCTCAGCTGACATCCAGGCCAAGGGCCACCTTTCATCCGGCATGTGGAGGCAGCCCAAGGACGGCAAAGACTGGGGAGAGGAATACGTCACAAAGGACCACCCTGATAAACTGAAGGAAGCCGGCCAGGGGAGACACACTTCCTTGGAGAATGTTTTATGTGAAACCTCTTTGGCTGGTAAGTTCCACGGGGGAATTCAGGCTGAAATTTTAAAGAACAAGATAGACTACAGGTTGGAAAGTCAGAGCTAGGCTGGCGAGATAGACTCAGGGGACGTATGAGACCACTTGGCCTCTGGTTCTTTTTGCAAGTGAAGTAATAAAGCCCAAAGAGATGAAGGAACTCACCAGAGGTGATACCAGTTGGGGCCAGTATCATCTTGATTCTGGGCATCCATGACTTCTAGTAATGTAGTGCTCTGGGAAAAAAAAGGACATAGGTTCATGGAGAAGAAGAAAGAAAAGGTGTGAATTATTAATCAGAGATGTGGAATCTTCTATATATTATTTCCTTAATAATCTTGCATGGAAATATAAAACCCTGAATCGGGCCCTGACTTTCCTTCCTCACCCCTTCATCTTTTCCTTTCCTCCTTCCGCATACCCTTAATCATTCCCAAACACTTCCTGTGTGTCAGACAGCGTCGTTACCACCCAACTATTTGGGGAGGTAATTTTTTTTGGGGGGGGAGGTAATTTTTACAAATTAATTTTAATTGAATTATCAAATACTTGCAAAATTAAGTAGTATGGAAAGCTTTGTTAGGAAAAATGGCAGCTGCCGCTCCGAACCCATTTGACAATTTCTTTTGGTACTGGCTTCTGTGTTTGAAAAAAGATTTATGCTGCTATTTTGGAAACTATGTTTTGCTGAGGGTTAATTTACACAGAGTAAAATGCAGAGATTACATGTAAGCTTATTGACTTTTTACATAGGTGTATCCCCTGCAAATGCTACCCATACCAACATATTCAATATTTCTGTTACTCTAGAAAGTTCCCTCATACATTTTTCCAGCTAATATTTTCTCAAAGAACTATTACTGTGTAAAACTATTAGTTTTGTCTGTTTTTTTTGTTTGTTTGTTTGTTTGTTTGTTTGTCTTTTTGAGATAGGTCTCACTAGGCAGTTCAGGTTGGCCTTGAGCTCACTTTGTAGCCCAGGCTGATCTTGAACTCAGAATAATCCCCCTGCCTCAGCCTCCCTAGTGCTGGGATTATAGACGTGCACCACCATGCCCATGGTTTTGTCTGTTCTTAAGATTCATATAAATGAAATAATATAGTACCCACTCTTTTGTACCTGGCTTTTTTCTCTCAGCATGTTTTTTTGAAATTCATCCGTATTGTTACATGATTCAGTTGATTATTTAGTCCTGTTTATTAATCACATTGAATGAACTTAACACATTTTTTAAAAAATCCTTTCTCTGATGGTGGACATTTGAATTGTTTCCACTCTGAGCTGTTATGAACAAAACCACTGTGAATATTTTTGTACAAGATTTTTTTTAATGGATGTGCTCATTTATGTTGAGTATATCCCCAGGAAGGGAACTTTGGGTTAGGTGGGCAGGATTAGGTTTAACTTTAAAAGAAAATGTCAGGTCATTTTCTTAAGTGGTTGGATGATTTTGTACACCCCAGCAGTGGAGGACGCCTCCTGCTTCACCTCCTCCCCAGTCCTTGAAGCGAACAGTCTTTCTAATTTTAGCTGTTCTCATGGGTGTGCACTGATAGGAGAATGTGGATTTTTAATTTGCGCTTTCCTAATGACTGTTGACACTGAACATCTTTTCCTCACGTGCTTATTGGTTGTTCATAGATCTTCTTTTACCAAGTACCCATTCAAGTCCTTCGCCCAATTTTTCAGTTGGGCTATCTTTTTTCTATTTGTGGGATTTTAAAATACATTCTAGGTATGAGTTATCTGTCTGAGAATACTTTATTCTAGTCTGTGACTTGCCTTTTCACTTTCTTAACAGTCTTTTGATGAACAGAAGTTTTAAATTTTGATGACATCCAATCCATCAATGTAAAAACTTTTTAAAAATAGTTTATGACTTTTGTGTGCTTTCAAGAAAACTTTGCCTGTCCCAAAGTTACAAAAATATTCTCATATGTTTTCATCTGCAATTTTTATAATTTTACCTTTCACGTAAGACTACGACTTAGGGCATGGTAGTGCCCACTTGTTTGGGAGGCTGAGGCAGGAGGATCTCTGTGAGTTTGAGGCTGTGCTGTATAATGAGTTCAAGGCCAGCCCAAACTACGTGGCTAGACCCCATCTCAAAAAACAAAAAACTATGACTTAAATCAATTTTGATGTATGGTGGGAGGAAGAGGGTCAGGTTACTTTGTTCCCCAAGTTAACTATCCTGCTGCGTCAGCACTATTTACTGAAATTCCTGCTTTTCCCCCATTGAGTTGAACTGATCACAGTCAAGTGATCTAATACGAGCGAGTCGAATTCTAGACCATATTTTTATTTCAGTTTTCAGAAAATTGTCCTCTTGATGGCACTGAGTCTTCTATTTAAAGAACATGGTATTTATAATCACCCTATCTTTTCATAACTTTCATTCACATGGGTCTTCCTGCATTTTTGTCAGCAGTGTAACAGAAACTCTACCATTTCCTTCCTTTTTTCCTTTGACGCATCTGCCCTCAAGATCTCTGTCATCCCATTCCATGCTGGTCCCTCACACTGCTGTATCCTGGGGCTTCCCAACTTTCCTAGGAATTTCTCTCATATTTCTCCCATGTTAGATTCCTGCTTGGTTTGATTACATTTTTCTTTTTTCTTTTTCCTTTTTTTTTTGGTCTTTTTGAGACAGGGTCTCCCTATGCAGTTCAGGCTGACCTTGAGCTCACTTTGTAGCACAGGCTGGTCTTGAACTCAGAATGATCCTCCTGCCTCAGCCTCCCGAGTGCTAGGTTTACAGGCATGCACCACCACGCCTGGCCATTTTTTCGTTTTGAGAGTCCTTGGTACCTCAGTTTACTCCTTATTTTGATAGAATGCATTGTCCCATCATGTCCACATACTGTGCTGTTAATGTAACTTAGTGAAAAACCTTTTCTCCCCTCATGATTTTGGAACAATTTTTCCATTGTCCTCTAGCTTCTCTTGCTATTGGAAGGTCCCATACAGTTCTGATCCTCTGTCCTTTGTACGCTCCCCAACTTTTCTGTCTGGTAGCTTGGCGTCTTCCTGTTGTCCTGGGTGTGCTCACATTTCAAGGGCTGTGGTGCACCCGACACTCATGTGGATTCTCTTTCATTCACTACGCAGAGCCAGATAGGTCCTTTCCTCTGGGAATAGATGTCATGCAGTGCTTTCTCCTGTTAATTTGGTCATGTCCTCTCATCCGTTTTCCTCCTTTTGCCCGGAACTTCTACTAATTTGATGTTAGATCTCTTGTGTTGATTTTCTCAACTGCCATGTTTTTATTTCATTATATCTCTTCTTGTTCGTTTGTTTGTTTGTTTGGAGGGGAGGTTGCATTTCTTTGGTTTTACATTCTACCCTTTTAAATTTTACTATATTTTTAAAATGTCAGGGATTTGCTCTTTGAAATTACCCTTACCTTTAAAAAATAGCATCTTGTAATTATAATCACAATGGCTAGAATATTTTTCTCATGTGTCTCTGAGACATGAGATTAAAATCGAACCTTTTGAAGGGCTCGCTTGCATCCTGCATTGTGTCTGTTTCCTCTCCCCGCTCCATAAATGTCTCCGGTGCTGCCGGGGATGTGGGGGGAGACCTATCACACTGTAGGTGGGAGTGCAAACTCGCAGAGCCCTTTTGGAAATCAATATGGAGATTTATTAAAAAACTGAGAATGGAAATTCTATTTGATCCAGCTATACTTCTCCCAGTATCTTTCCAAAGACCATAAATCGTGATACTGCCGTGATGCTTGCATACTCGTGAAGATGGCAATGAAATTCATAGTAATTAAATTTAAATCACGTAAGCAGCCGGGGTGCCCATCAGCAGATGAATCAATAAAGAAAATGTTATATATGCATATATATATGTAATTCAGCCATAAAGAAGGATAAATTTGAGTCACATAGGAAAATGGATGGATCTTGAGACCATACTAATAAGTGAAATAATTCCATCACAAGTAGGTTAAATAGTACATGGTTTCTCTAGCATAAGAGACCAAAACTATGAATAACATAGGATCAAAAAAAAAGAACCATAAAACAGGGAGGTAGATTCTGCAGACATGGGAAGGGGTTAGGGGGAGAAAGTAGAAGGAGGGGCAGCAGGCAGAGGAAAAGCGATCGAGAGACTGTACATATACATGTGGGAACTGAACACCAAGCTCAGTGTAATCACTGTGTATCACAAACATGTACTGACAATAAAACATAAATAAAAATATGTATATTTTCTCCTCTCTTCTATAGTATAAACTTATTCAAATACCTGAGTATCCTTAACTAATTTATGTCTAAAAGAGAGAGCTAGAAAAACTTCTGGAAATTTTGTATTATCCAGGCTTGTCCATAAGGGGACTTCATTATAGATAGGCCAAAGCAGGTAACAAATCACCTTTTGCAGGTGAGCTCTTCATGTCAGTGTCCGAGGGTTTGGGCAGCTTCACTGATTTTTATTTTTTTGCAGTACTAGGGATTGGACCTAGGGCCTTTGAATTAAACTACCTCCCCAGCCCTTTGAGATTTATTTTTAAATTTTGACACAGGGGGCCGGGGATATAGCTCAGTGGCACAGCACCTACCTGGCAAGTGCAAGGTCCTGAGTTTGATTCCTGGTACCAAAAAACAACAACAACAACAAAAGTTTTGAGACAGGGTCTTGCTATATTGCTAAGTTTCCAGGCTGAACTCAAACTTGTGATCCTCCTGCCTCAGCTTCCCAGAATGCTGGGACTACAGGCATGTGCTACCACAGCTGGCCAATAGTTCAGTGGATTGAGTGGAAGACCCTCCAGTCTCCTGGCCTGGAGTGTTAATCTGGCATTATGGGCCAAGCAATGGGAGGGGCGTCAAGGGATGGCTTGCTGCTCAGGGACGTCAAGGGATGCTTACTGGCCTTCCCTGCACCCTCTTTTCATGTTAGCATCTCACGTGGCCCTTTCATATGTCTGGAGTCCTAGCCCAGATCCCTGAGATAGTGTTTCTCTGGGTTTACTTTTTCCATTTCCTATGGGCTAGAAGTAAGAGTGGCTTGTAGGTAGGGATCTGGACATTCAGTGGCACCTTATGTAGATTTTCACCTGTCTCATCTATTTCCAGCATTACCCTGTTTTCACTTCTGTGCCTGCCAGCTCTAATCTTTCAGCCTTTCTGCTACTTTTCAGTGCATCCCTCTCTGCAGACAGGAACAAAAAGATTTTTGCATCCTTTGCTCTGTTCAATGAATTGTCGTACATCCCTTCTGTTTGCCAACGTCTAAAAACTTGCTGATTTTGTTTCCAATATGTTTTTATTGTTCGCTATCATTGCTTGACATTTGGGGAAGGAGTGGTTAACAAAAATTTCTTCGTTTGTTTTCAAAGCTAAAAGACAGACTGTGGCTTTAGAACTGCTCGAATCTGAAAGAAAATATGTCATTAACATCTCTCTGATCCTGAAGATAAAGGCCACCTTCCAGGGGTCAGATGGAAAGAGGAACTCCAAAGAGAGAAGGTATCCATGTATTCATTGCCTTTGTTTTTCAGATTGATTAGGATTTAAGGTAAGTTGCTTACTGTTTCCACTTTGGGAATTCTGGGGCCTTTAAAGAGTTTCAGACATGTTCCAAGTTTGTCTTTAAAAAGAGAAGAGGCAATATTGGCAGGCAACGCTTGGCAAGTCTCAAACTTAGATTCTCAGCAGGTAAGAAAATGAGCACCGTCTCCCGGGCCTTCAGGGTCTCTGACGTGTCTGTAAAGACCTGGGGGTTGCTCTCTGTTGCCATTTGCACGTCTCCATGAGTCACAGGTCTCAGAGAGGCACAAGAAAGTTGATATGGTGGAGGTGTGCAGCACTATATAATCATTAGATAAAAGATAGGGGGATATAACACTTGTTATAGGTGACCTCGCAGTGCCCAGTGATGTGTACGAGTGTGTGTGTGTGTGTGTGTGTGTGTGTGTGTGTGTGGTATGTTTAGGTATGTGTACCTGTGTTGTAGGGCAATGCTTTCAAAAGGTAAGCGACATATTGTAACATCTTTCTTGTCCTAACGTCACAACACTCCCATTTCCACCTGCTCATATTCTTTAGATTTCCTCTTCTCTCTCTCTTGGGAGAAAGTAGGAAGGAGAAAAGTAAGACTTGATGGAAAAGATAACGTAATAAAGATTTAGTAATCCAGAATAACCAAGGGAAAGGCCAACCCAAGCAAATGGGAAGCCTAGATTAGAGAATAATATAACTCCCAACCAGCCTCAAGTTGAAGAATGTTCCTCAAAATTGAAGAATGAATTCTAGGGAACAATGGAGGTTAAAAATAGGACAAAGTTTATTGAGAGAGATTGGTCCTGAGAGACAAGGGGGGACCCAAAAGTGGGTTGCCAACCAGTCCACTTCTCAAAGGAAATTTTATAGAACAAAATCCCAAGGTGGGTACTACATGGGTCAAAACTATGAGCAACCAATAAGATTGCAAATACAGCTGCTTAGGTAATATTGATCCAATGGGTAAGCGGGTTACATAGTAAGTGTATGTGGAAAAAAACCAAAGATTTTCTTTAGGAAGGAATAGATCAGTGGGTCTTGGTCACTCACTAGGATGACTAATGTCTATCTAGATCTGATTGGATTCAGGGACAGCAATTATCTTATCCCCTGGAGAGGCATGCAGGGCTGGTCATTCCATCTTTGTCTTGAGGCCTGGCCTTCAACAGATACCCTTCCAGCTACAGTTGCAATATGTTCTCATCTCCTGCACTGACTCTCTCGGGGCCTAGCCCTGTCCAACTGCCCATAATATTCCTGCCTAACTTAGCCGCCTATAATATTCCTCCTCTGAAGAGGAACGCCTGCTGGGAGGGCGTGAGGGTTGATGACCGTTCTAGCTACTTCTGGTGGAAGGGGGTTGTTGTTGTGATCAGCAGTCAGAGATACTCTCCAGAGGGTCTATCTAAAGGCCTTCAATAGATTCCAAGCATTCTCATCTTGCATAAGCATATAGCTTTAAGTCTGGAAGAGATAAGGCCAAAGAAACTGTTAAGTATGCATGGGCCAAATAATAAGATCAATAAGACTATTGTGAATCCAGCCAATAAATGTTCCCACCAGGAACAGCTTCCCACAAAGAGGGAAAGGAGAAGGTCGAGGGAACTTCAAAATCCAATGTGACGTTGACCTGTTATTTATTATCCTGAACAGCCATCAAGATGTTAGCCTAAGGATCAGGAATGTACACACAACATTAAACTTTTGCAATTATACCCTTGTGCTGCTGTTAGAATGTCTGATTCGTGACTCAGATTCCCTACAGCTGCTGAGCAGGTCCTCCATCCTCTGTAAGCACCCCCAAAGCCATGCCCTGCCTTTTACCCACACATACATTGAAATGGTGTCCTGCTGGTAGGCTCGGTGCTGGGGCATCTACAAGCACATGTTGAAGCTCCTGGAATACAGTTTGGGAATCAGGTTCCCAGGTTAAAATATGGATATCTGTGTTTTGTGCTTCCTTTATAAACTGATAGAGGGGTCCCATGATCACACCATACCTGCTATCCAAAGGTGACAAAAGCCTGTAATTCTTAGGAATCTCCTTAGGTGTTTCAGACTCTCGGGCTGATGCAAAGAAAGTATTGGTTTAATTTTCTCTTCCCCCAGCCTTCCAGTTCCCTTAGATATAAAACACCCAAGTATTTTACCTTAAGATTAAAAAGTAGTGCCTTAGACCTAGAGACCTCTCAGCAGAGCATGCATGCCTTGGCTAGAGAGGGCTTCTGAGGGCGCGCATAATGGTATATCATCAACATATTGCAGGACTGTAACTTGGAAAAATTCAAAACATCCCAAGTCATGGGAAAGCACTTGCCCAAAAAGATGAAGACTATTTCTGAGCCCTTGAGGAAGCACAGTCCAAGTCAGTTGAGAGGTCTGGTCAAGAAGATTTTCAAAGGCAGAAACAAACTGGGGACCTGTATGTAAAGGAATACAAAAGAGGGCATCTTTTAAATCTAACAGTGAAAAACAACTGGCATCTTCTGGGATCTGAGAAAGGAGAGTGTACAGGTTAGGTACCACCAAGTGGATTACCACTTGTACCTCATTGACCAATGTCAAGTCCTGTACCAATCTCCTTCTCTGTTGGGCTTTTGAACTCCCAAGACTGAAGTATACAGGTGTAAGAAAACCTCGTGTCCTTAAGTTGTCTATTACAGGCAATAGCCCTTTTTAAACTTCAGGCCTTAGAGAGTATTGTCTCTGGTGGGAAAATGTAGTGGGATCTTTAAGATGTATTTGTACCAGAGTAACTCTTATTGCTCTTCCTATTTCACCTGCCCATACTTTCAGTGTACCTGACCTGGGTCATGTATATTACAGTATTCAAGTAAGATAAGATATCTTCCCCCAGGAGGGGAACTAGACTTCCAGGCATAATAAAAAGGGAATGGGAGAAGAGCAAGCCATCCCAGTTACAGCCTAGGGGTTGTGAGAAATAGCAAGTTACCACCTCCCCCCCCAACAGTGACTCCTGTCACTGAGGTGTGACGGCTGGAAGGAAGGCCAGGGTTGAAAAGGAGGACCAAGAGAAACATGCCAGTGTCCAGCAATAGGCTGGTTTCTTTTCTCTCTGTAGTCATGATTACCTGGAGAAGGAGAAGACGGTCTGGCCAGAGGGAGAGGTAGCATGCCCCAGGGCCCTTCAGTCTTGCTGGAACAGCTGGTAGGATGGGTCTGATCCCTGGTACCTCCATCTCAAGGGGCACTCCAACTTCCAGTGGTCACCTTTGCAATCAGGGCATAAGTTGGGGAGCCTCTTGTTGTGACAGTTTTTATCACAGTCCCTCCTAAGCTGGCCTGGCTTTTTGCAGTGGTAGCAAGCAAGTTCAGTCATGGAGCTCTTCTTGGAGCCTCAGGAATCAGACTTAGAGTCTATTCCTTTTAAGGCTGCAATCAAGACTGCCGCTTTCTCTTGGTCTCTTTGTTTTCTCCCCTTGGCCTCCTCCTGGTCTTGATCACAGAATACCAAGGAGGCAATTTTCACTAAGGTATCAAGTGAGCCATCTGGAGCAAAAGCCATCTCTTTTCCTGATATCTGAAGCTGACTGGGTAATAAACTTGTCTTTAAGAATAATCGGTCCTTCTACCAAATCAGGAGCCAGGAGTGTATGTTTCATCACTGCCTCTTGTAAAGGATCTAAGAAGGTGGAGGGTTTCTCACCTTTCTCTTGATGAAGAGTTGATAATTTAATATAATTGAAGGGCTCAGTTCTTATCCTTCTTAGCCCTTTAATAATACATGTCTTGATGGGCATGGTGGCACATGCCTATAATCCCAGCACTCGGGAGGCTGAGACAGGAGGATCACCACAACTTTGAGGCCAGCCTGGGCTACATAGTAAGTTTAAGGCTAACCTGAACTATGTAGCAAGACCCTGTCTCAAAAAAATAAAAACAAAACAAAACAAAACAAACCCGAAAACAAAACCCAAAAACCAAACCAAACCAAAAAAATACATGTCTGAAAATATTTCCACTTCCAATCCCCCTGTGGTTGGCAGGCTGGTAGGGATCTTGTGTAGAGACTCCTTGGGCTCCAGTAGGAACTAGCCATTGCCTTGGCTGCCTGTCTTCCTGTCTTCTAAAATTAACAATATGAAGCCAGGTGTGGTGGCACACACTGTAATCCCAGCACTTGGGAGGCTGAAACAGGAGGATCTTACAAGTTCAGGAACAGCCTGGGCCACACAGTGAGTTCAAGGCCAGCCTGAACTGCAGAGTGAGGCCCCGTCTCAAAAAGACAAAAATTAAAAATTAAAAAATTAAAAAATAAAATTAACAATATGATATTCCTCTCCAAATACTAGCACCTGATAATGCTGCTTGTCTCTCACTAGAAGTCAGTGTTTAAGAGTAACATTACATCTTTCCAGTGTAGTTCATAGGTCAGAGTTAGTCCCCTGAAGACCTCAGTGTACTTATCAGCATCTTTTGAAAACTTTCTCAGATCTTGTTTGGTCTCTTTGAGGTCACTGAGAGAAAAGGACACATGGACTCAGGCAGGGCTAAATTCTGCACTCACCTCCTGTAGGGAATACTGTCCCTGAGGAGCCCAAACAGAATCAGATAAGGACGGGTATAGCCCAGTGGAAGCTTCAGTTAGGGTTGGCTTGGAAGCCTCACCCACAGAGTCAGGAGGACAGGGGAGGGAGCTTAGGCGCAGTAACAGTGCCCCTAAGATAAGGCTTTGGTTAAGGTTGCCTTGGAAACCTTGTCCTTAGAATCCAAAGGGCCTGGGATAGTGGATGCAGCCTATTGTGCCTTAAGGGCCGAAGGGGGCTGGTTTTGCTGTGGCTCACATTTACATCTTGAACACAAGTAAGGATTATCTCTTAATACAAAGAAAATCTGAACATAAGGTAATTCTGACCGTTTCCCCTCTCTCTGACAGTACAATTCTAGTTGTGAAATAGTATCATAGTCAGTACTTCCCCTGCATTCCATTTTGTCTCTAGCGGGTA